CGCCACCGCCGCCATCGCCGCCGCCGCCGCCGCCACCGCCACCGACGCAAACCCTCTCAAAGCATCCCCTGAAACTAACCCCTACCCGCGCTTTTCGACCAAGCTCCCCTCCATATTGATCAGTGCGCGCGGTCCGCAGGCCGCAGCATCCAACGATGGAAACGCGCGTTGCTACACGTTGTCAACATACTTAGCAGACCGAAATCCCACAGTGCAGGATAGTGACGGACTCTGGCCACGAAAGCGGCCGCGTTGTGTCCGCAGTGTCGTCGCCTGAACGTGAGAAAGTGATAAAACTGGTATTGCGTTAAGATGCACGTCTTGTGTGACCACAAAAGAATGATCTAACTATATGGATGATTATCCGAGTAACTTTTTTTGTACCGGCGTGAGATTAAGAGAATTGATTTAATCATATATTTTGCCTCTTTGGTCAATTTCAATGTATTTATTTATGAAATTTAATTATCTCAAATGCAATAAAGACATGTTAAAAGCAGATTTTGTTGAATTATTAAATCGATATAAAACATGCCTTGATAATATATTGAATGTAAAAATATGAGGCGTTGAAAAAGTGGTAACAAGTTCCTCGTTAATTTGACATTAAAATTACATTCGGGCATTCAATAAAACATTATATTCCAATATAATTAATATTCCACAGTAAATCGTGATCATTCGGATTGAACGTGCATTAACGGTATTCGCGCAAAATATTACGAATGCGTCGCGCTGTAACGATGAAGAACAAATGTTCGTATTCCGGAAATCCCTTATCCCCTCTTTAATTATCATGACACAGGTGCAAGCCGGTGCTATTTATTAATCGATTAAAACCGCGTGCGTAACCTCGGCACGAAACTTTGAAAGGTTTTCATCGAAAGGATCTTGTCGATTGCGGAATGTAATATGCATGAAATAGCCAAGTTTACTAAACCAAAAGAATAGATTGACATCTTAGAAAAAAAATCATTTTTTAAATATACTTTCTCTTATAAAATATGGAATTCATTAATATCCACTTCTCTATGTTCGCAAATTTATAAAAAACTAATAATAATGTAAAGAAATAAACTATATATATTAAATATTTATATTATATTTATATAAACAATGTCGAAACAAATGTTTGATCAGAAGGTTTTTAGAAACGGTGAACTTATATGTATAAAGGAACAAGAATAATGAATGATTTTTTTAAAAGAAATATGCAGTCGCGCGCACACACACACCGGAAGCATTGTTATGTAGATCATGGTAAGGTATTAGTTTAGGCCTTTCGTGTCAGGCAATCATTGTAAGTAATGACATGATCAGAAACCAATGCGGGCTTTTCGTGTCAAACAATCATTACCGCGTTGTTCTAAATTTACGCGCTAAGGATTGCGTTGATTTATGTTTTGCAAATTAATTGAAAAATATCAAAATTAAATTATATGTTTGCTTATTTATAGCAGTAATATAATCGCTTGTAGCGTAATAAAAAGAGGCGGTTTTAATCATTGTAGTAACATTTACATTGTTCGATAATAATTAATTGGACAATTTTGACTGATTCTTATGTACTTTTTTATGCTGATTTTCAGAATAAGATTAGAATTTATCCATTTTTTCGTAATAAACACATTTCTTTTTAAAAACTTATCTATATATTTTGCTAATAACAGCTTATTGTATGAAGCCTTTTTCTTAATTAAAATGTTTTATTTTTGTTTCAAATCTTTTATAATAAATAAAAAACCATATTGAATTTAGTAGTCATTTCCTATGAATTGTTTGTTTATGTATAAACAGAGAAAACAAGCAAAAGAATTTTTTGATACATATGTTACTCAGAAACCATATTTTCTTTATAAATTTTGCAAATAGATTTAAAATTAGATCAAAAAATGTTATAAAAACATCCTGTCAATTTAACATAAAAAAGTAAAAAACTTTTACTTTGAAAAAGTGAAAGTCGATTCATATTATTAACCAGTATTATTAATGTTGGAACATTTCAACGTTCTATTCTTTCAATTTAAAAAATAATATCAGATTAATTTAACATAAAAAAAGAGAATTCTATTGACCAGTGAATTATTGGAAAATTAATAAAATTTTTTAATGCATATTATTTAAAAACCTTATCCTCCTCATAAAGTTAGCAAACAGATTTAAAATCAGCATAAAAAATATTATAAAAGTGACCTTCTGTCAGACCAATTTAACATGAAAAAGTAAAATGTTCATTTTGAAAAAGTGAAAGTTGATCAATGTAAATAATATAAATCATTGTTATTAATGTTGGAATATTTCAACGCTCTATCTTTTAATTTATCGTTAAAATGATAAATTTTTAAAATTTTTAATTCGAAGGTTTAATTCGAAATTTTTACTTCTGTATTTAACTTTATGTAACAGTAAAAAACATTTCGTATTTGTGTTGGAAATGATTACTCAAATCCTTATTAACATTTTGTGTTAAATTTTTTAACATATGTTAATTTAACTTAATAATAATTTAAATTAATAATGTAATTATGTTATTTAAATAATTTGTATTAATTTGATAGTCAACATTTCTTAATATCAAAATAACATAATTTATGAGTAAATGAACAAATAATATAAAAATGTGTTTTAAAACATAAATTCTAAGATAAACAAATAAAATATAGATTAATTAAAAATATCATAAATGTTAATTTTACTAAAAAAAAAAAAAATATTCTTCCACGATTTATTTACAAATTTTGTCAGTTTTATCTTTTATATATTTATTCTTTTACATAATATTCGTACATAATAATCTTCTAACATGTTGTATTAAATTAACACAAAAATTTGAGTGGACATGCGATTTATGTTAAATTTAACATATTTTTTCCAACAGTGTAACTCTTCTATAAATCATATGTTATGAGTTAAGGAAGTTCTCTCTATGTTGCGGCTCTTATATAGATGTGAGGATCGCTTTATATTGACTCCGCTTGTCGAAAGCGAGAAAATATTTCTTTCTCACACGTTGACACAGAAGTTTCTACAAGATGTAGGTACTAAGGGCATTCCGCTTGGAAAAGTTGACAGGTGCTATTGCGATCAGAGTTCTGCACTCGCGCACTCAACTGCCCAAAGGCTAAGCGTAAAACTTCCGGTCGAGTGTGATTGCGTGGCAAAAAGCTGCCCAGGGCTTTACAACCTTCATTTCCCGACTTAATACGTTTCTTCGCTAAGGTGGCAGTGAAATGGAGAAAAAAGAGAGAGAAAGAAACGAAGCCGAACTACTTATCGTATAGGAACTTGGTGATCTTCTGTCAAATACACCTTCCAATGTAACGTGTTCGCATCGTTACATTGTAAAAGAGACAGAAAGTTTTATTTTGGGCCCCAAAAGTATGCACAGCTTAAGGTCGCACATTTTCAATGGTCTCGAGTAGTTACCACGGAATATGCGCCTCTTCGAGCGCGAAGTAAGTACTTTCGTTCATCGCGATGAGCTTTAGTCATAATGAGCTGCACTCTTTTAAATGAGATAAAAGAAAAAGAAGCAAGACGAATTACTGTTTTTTATGTTGTTAAAATAAATAATCCCTGCTGAGATACATATAACAAAATACACATTTATACAGATAATTTTATATAGATGCATGTATAAAATTTTAAATAAATAATCACTAGTTGTTATGCCGTATTTTTAAAAGTAACACAGTAGACAATTGTTTTGTTATTTATAGCAATAATGCATAATAAGAAAAAAATTATTTCCTAATTTGCTAAATTGAGTGAAATAGAAAGCCATTTGTTTACAGCAAGCATACTTTCAACAGTTTCAACACTGTAGTTACCGGATTTAATCAAATTGTAATAGTTTAAATTTAATAGCTTGTTAAAAATAACACCAAATTTCACATGTAATTCATAAAAAATTTAGATATCATACATAGTCACGTAAAAGTAACTAAAATGTATGTTTTCCTAATATTATTAGTCATTAATGCGCCAGTTTATAGTCAAGTGTAAAAATGCGCTTTGATAAAACGCTATCATACAGAAATTCGTTATAAAAACAAACAAACAAAAATATTTTTACGTTCATGTTTTTAATCTCGTGTCAAATAGATAATATTTTACATACGTAAAATTGCATAAATGATCCGCATAATGAACTAATTATTGCGGGACTCAGCGAGCAAGCGAATCGAGCAGTCGAACGTGTAGTTGAATTTAAATGAGGTCACACGAAAACGCGTCGGATTTCATCCGCGTTATTAGCGGATAACTATCGGATAGGGTGTCTATTTAACAATAGACAATTAATTAATGCACTCGCCTATTAGATCCTAGTGAATAAACGCGCCGAAATTGTCTGATTTTGAAAACATTTCGCTGACTAAACAAACGGCACTATCTTTCACACTGTTTTCGAGATTAAAATGATAAAGCTTGCGATAATAATGGGTTTGTTTGCTCGCGAAATGGCACAACCCGTAACACTCACGATAAAAAATCGCGACAAAATGTTGCTGAGATTAATGCGCGCATCCGCGATACACGCAACATACTCGTTAGCTATAAATA